TCCAGAATGTAACATATACATAAAAGTACTTCATGCTCTGTTTGCCTCCAAAGCCCAGCAACATAAACGAAACTGCATTACCTTACTATATGCTAAACAAGGAATGAAAACCTTAGCATGTGTTGGCCACATGACGGCTGCGGCTCCCGAAAAGGGCAGTCCCATCCAGTGCTTATACTTCGCCACTGTGATCCATCTTCGTATTTGCTGAGCGTGTCTGCCTGCTGCTGCTGTTCCCGGCTGCGTGGGTACCACACCACTGAAATGTCTGTGTCCGTATCCGCGCAGAGGCGATGGATCTCCGCCACTATGGGCAGGCAAGCGGCGTTGCCTTTCATCCCAACCATGCAGAATTCCGCCGGTTGGCTGTCCGTCTGGTATTGCACTGTCCGGCCGTACAACAGGTTCGGTGCCTGCTCTCGCAACCAGTTCAAGCTGTACAGCAGCGCCTGCAGTTCTCTTTCTGTGCTGCTAAAGTCATTCCGCTGCAGCCGCTGGGTTTCCTGAGCTTTGAAGGGCACAAGCATGTGGCTGTTGGCGCCCAGTTCTTCTCCAGGTAAGAAGGCTGCTAAGGCCCTGTCTGAGGCGTCCCCGACTAGTTCCGTCGTCAGTCATAGGGCTGGTCCTTTCCGCCAGGTGGCTGTCCCGTTGCGCCTGCCCAGCAGCTCCATAAACAAGCCTGCCTGGTGTAGCACCTCTGCCGGGTCCCAAACCTCTTCGTCCCACGCCACGCCCCGGGCTACATGCCACACCATCCACGCATACAGGGGTGCCGTGGTGACGGCGGGCGTCATGGCGATGATTTTGCCGGCCACCTGCGCCACCTGCCGCGCTGTTAGCCGTTTGCCTTCGAGCTGTGTGAGCAGCGTACGGAATCTAGCTAGCTTGTCGTCTGGTACTCTGAATGCTTGCGCCTCCGCATCCACCTCCATCCCCAAGAAACAGACTCGCCTTCTTGGGATCAGCTGGCACTTGGACAGCCTGAGGGTGAAGCCTAGGGCTGCCAGCAGCCGTACCACCGCCCCACACTCGTACTGTGCCGCGGCCTTCGACCCGCGGCACCCATCTGGTCGTCTATCAGGAAAGACATGCGGACCCCTAGCTGCCATAAAGGCTGGAAAACCTCGAGCTTCATGCTTGTGTACAAGTGGCAGGCCGGCGCCAGGCCGAACGGCAGGTGTGGCCAAAAAAGCGTCTGCCCCCGCCACCGCATAGCCAGATATGTGTGCTCCCGTTCGTGGAGTGATAGCTGCCAGTACCCGCTCTTGTGGTCCGTGGTGTACAGCCAATCTTCCGGTAGGAGGTAGCTAGGTACATCTGCCAGTCGTTCGTACTTCACAGGCCGGTACTTCAAGA